CCTTGTCCGTTGTATGGCTAGTGAAGATCTTCTCCCAATCCGTGGGCTTTCTATTGATCTTGCAAGCTATGTCCTTTGCCATGCAGAAGCTGTGCAATTTCATGCAATCCCATTTGTCCAACCAAAAAAAGGAATTAAAAAAAAAAAAAACTCTCATGCACTGTTTCCCTATAGAACCAAGTGTTCGGGGCAATAGGCAGAACAAAGGACTTTGGCGTCAGGTAGATCTGGGTTTACATCTTGTGTTCACTGCTAGCTGATTGTGGGACTTGAGCAATTCAATCTTTGGGATCCTCGGGTTTCTTTAACAATACAGGGAGAAGAGGAGCAGAGCCTACTGCTGAACAGGTGGAGGCTGTGGCTCTACAAGCTTCTCCACCTTGAAACTGGCCCTCATATTTCTAACGTGGAGAGATATACATACCATCACATTGAGCAGTTGATACAGTTGAGTAGCATTCATTGCATTTATTCTCTCCCTCTCTCCCTTTACCCATCTTTAGCTGACAAGCAAGTGATTATTGATGGAATCTTTCCCTAATGTGTACATGGAACTGCACATCCCTTGTTCCCAGGTTGCCATTTTGGAGGCGTTCTTCTCTGTTTGTTGCTAGTGTCTTCTGGTGGATCCTGTCTGCTGTCTCCAGCTGGAAGTTCCCTAACTGGGGGTGCTGGGGGGGGGACGACGACTGGTGAGTGTGTCTATTAATAGAGGTGCTCTAGATTATTAAACGATTATGTGTAAGGTATTAACTGGCCTTGATTAGGGAGAGTTCTTTCTCTCCAGGCAGATAATTATATACTGTTTACTCACGTTCCTTTGGGTATGGAATAGGGAAGAAAGGAATTCAGATTTCTTTTTCTTTTATTTTTTGTTGGTCATGGGGCTTGAACTCTGGGCCTGGGCGCTGTCCCTCAGCTCTTCAGCTCAAGGCTTGCGCTCTATCACTTGAGCCACAGTGCCACTTTTGGTTTTCTGAATGGTTTATTGGAGATAAGAGTCTCACATACTTTCCTGCCCGGGCTGGCTTTGAACCGCCATCCTCAGATCTCAGCCTCCTGAGTAGCAGATTTTTTTTTTTCTTTGCTATCTTCTGGAAACTATAGTGAAGGGGTTTGGGAAGAGGAGACCATCGGAACTGCTACACTGTTCATGTTTTAAGGTTATTTTTGTACTTCATTAATCTAGTCTTTGGAATAGGGACTAAAATAAATGTACCGCTTTGGAAATATTCTAATTTCCTCCCCTCCTTCTTCATAAGTGTCATGAATTCCAAGACCTACTTTAGTCTTTTTTAGTGGTTGTGAGGCTTATCTCTGGGCCTGGGCCCTGTCCCTAAGCTCTTTTGCTCAAGGCTAGTGCTCTATCACTTTGAGCCATAGCACCACTTCTGTTTTTTGAGGTTAATTGGGTATTGGAGACTCCTGGGGACTTTTCTGCTTGGGCTAACTTTGAACCTGATCCTCCAATCTCAGTCTCCTGAGTAGCTAGGATTACAGACCTGAGCCACCAGCGCCTAGCTTGCTTTAGTCTTTATTTACCTCTCTTTGGAACTTTGAACTTGACAGACAGAGGGAAGGCTTCATCCTAATAGAGTCACATAGCCAATGATCTATCTGTATCTTTATATTTATTATTTTGTAAAAGGCAAAAGATCTGAAGAGAAACCAGAGTATATATTTATTATTTTGAGATCTGAGAATCATGGTTTGAAGCCAGCCTGGGCAGACAAATCCAAGCCAGCCTGGGGCACACAAATCTGAGAGACTTTTATCTCTAATTAACTACCAAATATCTGGAAGTGGAGTTGTAGCTCAAGTGGTATAGTGCCAGCCTTGAGTGGGAAAAAGCTACGCCAAGCTAAGTACTCAGGGAGATCCTGAGTTCAAGCCCCAGTATTAGCATGTGCACGCATGCGCGCGCACACACACAATTGTAGCAGGCATCATCGACCTGCTCCATCTCAGTGAGTGGAGCAGGAGGTGATCCCCTAAATCCCTTCATAGGTTTTAGTATCAAAGTAACACAGCTAGAAACTAGTTCCTTCTTCTGGCCATGTAGTCGGGAGTTCAAGGACTGTCTACAAAGTGTTCCTGGTCATAGCACTGACCCTGAATCTGAGGAAACCTCTTGATCTACCTGCCAGTTTACAGAAGAACATGTTAAATGACACGGTGAGAACTTAGCTGGCCAGATACAGAATGCAGGCTGTCTATAGGGATAAATGGCCTGTTTTCCTTCACAAATAACTAGTAGGAGTTTAAAAAAAGAAACAAAGGATAGAAAAATTTATAAAGTAGAAGAGATTTTTTTTTTTAGCATAAAGTTTAATAGACACATGAACCAAGCAGTGTGTTTCTTGTTCAGGGCTTGACTTGGGGGGAAAAACAAAACAAAAACAAAGCAACTCTGTGGAAATATTTTGATGCTATCAAAGAAAGCTAAGTAGGAAGTGGGCCTTTAGATGATATTTTTATTCTGTTGGCTTTGATAATTATGATTATGTTTTTCTAGCATCCTTATTAGAGATACAGAAGTATCTATTGTGTGGGCTGGGAAGGCAGTTCAGTGGTAGAGTGCTTGCCTCACATGCATGAGGCCCTGGGTCAATTCCTCAGCACCACACAAACAGAAAAAGCCAGAAATGGTGCTGTGACTCAAGTGGTAGAGCGCTAGCCTTGAGCTGAAGAGCTGAGGGACAGTACCCAGGCCCAGAGTTCAGGCCCCACGACCGACAAAAAAAGAAAAGAAAAGAAATATTGCGGTAAGGTAACTCATCCCAGAAGCCACATCTTAAAATATAGAATATTTTAGTCTTTATTATTCAGTTAACAGGCTGTAGGCTGCCAGTTGTTACAAAGGCCTGCAGCATGCAAGTACACACAACCCAGCTAGGAAACATGCTAAAGAGAAAAGAAATAACATGAACAATACCAACAAGCCAATTCAACTCCAATGGAGAGCTGAATTGGGACGCCATGATGGCTGGAGATGAGCCAGGAGACAGGACACGATCACAGAGACACACGTGGCATGGAGTCTGGCGGCTAGGCTGGTCAGGGCCTGAATAGGTCGGCGCAGGGGGCAGATCCTCAGGAAATTCCCAGTCCCAGGCACTGGACTGACAGATTCAGTAACCTATCAGCCAAGTGCCCGCCCCTGCCTCCAGAGGTCCGGGCACACCCATTACCTGGGAGGCGGGTGATGGGGGGGAGGGGTCATCCCCCAGCTTGAAGACAAGATGCCAGACCTATAATCCATGTGGCCAATATGGCGCTGGCCAAACCTGACCTCCTTACTTCATATCTGTTGTGCTAAAGGATGGTGTTTAGGATATGCTTTGTTTTCATTAAAAAAGAAATTGATGGTGCTGGGCCTGAGTTCTAATCTCTCAGCTTTTATGTATGTCTGAATAATATTTGTGTGCGTGTGCACGTGCATCAGTCCTGGGGCTTGAACTTGGGACCTGGGCACTGTCCCTGAGCATTTTTGCTCAAGGCTAGCATTCTATCACTTGAGCCACAGCTCTCCTTCATTGTTTCTTGTTTGTTTGTTTGTTCATTTGTTTTTAGTGGCTAATTGGAGATGAGTCTCATGGACTTTGCTGCCTGGGCTGGCTTTGAACTGACATCCTCAGATCTCAGCCTTCTGAGTAGCTAGGTTTACAGACCTGATCCACCAGCTTGTCTGACATTTTATAATGAAAAATGAAAAATGCCAAAGTTGGTTCTTAAAATCATTTTACTATAGGTAACATGTATAGACTTCTTTATACTGGTAGGACTTTAGAAATACAGCCTTTTAGCCGGGTGCTGGTGGCTCACACCTGTAATTCTAGCTACTCAGGAGGCTGAGATCTGAGGATTGGGGTTCAAAGTCAGCCTGGCAGGAAAATCCGTGAAACTTGTTTCCAATTAACCTCTAGAAAACTGTAAGTGGTGCTTTGGCTCAAGAGGTAGAGTGCTTGCTTTGAGCTAAAGAGCTCCAGGACAGCATACAGGCCCAGAGTTTAAGCTGCATGACTGACCGAAAAAGAAAGAAAAGAAATGAAAGAAAGAAAGAAAGATTGCCTTTGGGCTTATTTAACTTTCAATCTGGTTAATTTCTTGGAAAATTAGTATTTACATTAACTTCATGGTATTCCTAATCCCGGGGGTCCCAAGGAGCCCTCGAATAAACTACAATATGTCATAATTGTAGCTACTTAGGGAGCTAATGTTATGACTAATTGCCCATTAGTAGGTGCTTTATACCAATAAGCATGCAAAAGAGGGGGTTTGTGAAAGATTGCCAGTGACTAGAACTATATTAAATAAGGATGTGTGTGTGTGTGTGTGTGTGTGTGTGTGTGTGTGTGTGTGTGTGTGAATTGAATCATAAAAATATTTGAAGCTGGGTAACGGTGGCTCACGCCTGTAATCCTAGCTGTGCTGGAGGCTGAGATCTGAGGATTGCAGTTCAAAGCCAGCCTGGGCAGGAAAGTCCATGAGACTGTCTTCCTGGTGCCTCATTCTTCCCTGACCTTCCCTCCTGCCTTCTCTATCTCAGTACCTTGCTTGTTTCCTTGATGATCTCTGCACGCTAAGGACCATGAGTAAGGGCAATTCTGATTGGTTAACAGGTCACACCTGTGGTCAGGAGGGATTTGGACTCAATAAACCAATGGATGTGTTGGGCTGGACATAAGAGACGGATGAATGATGCAGCCTCTCCTTTCATGGAGCCCACAGTCTTCTAGAGGAGGCAGAGCAGTAGGTTTGGTGAGGAAATAAAGATGGAAGAGAGGAGGCTAGAGTGTGACAGGATCTTGGCACGCATGGTGTTGTGAATGCTCGTGGAGTGGCCAGAGTATGGTGCCCATAGAAGAGGCGGACGAGGTTCAGAGGGACGAGGGCTGCTGGACATCAGCCAAGGGCTTTGGGTTTCAGAAGATGCCAGGCATTGTAAGGCTCAGGCCTTATAATCCTAGCTACTCAGGAGAGGTGTGAGGATTGGAGTCAGCCCTGGGGGACAAATAGAAAAGACTCTTTATGTCCAGCTTACCAGCAATATGCCACAAGTGGTAGAATACCAGCTTTGAGTGAAAAAAAGCTAAGGATCAGTGTTCCAGTACCTGCAGAAAAAAAAAATTAAAAAGAAGTAATGAAGGACTTTAAAAATGGAATGATCTTTACATGACATATAGAGATGGATTATTGATCCATTTCCATATTGGAAAACTACAGATGAATCAGAGGAGCTAGAGGAGGAGCCAGAGGATCACAGTGGCTAGAGGAGGGTACAGAATTGATAGCGGGCTATGGTTTATGTGGAGAGACCACAGCTCCAATTCATGGGTGTCAGTGGCTAGGGACACACCTCGCTTGGATGAGGGCTGGGGCAGTTAAAACGTTTCTCAGGCCTGCATCCCTTGGCACATAGTCTCACAGGCTGGGATGTCTGTAGGGTACCACATAGCCCTCGTGTATCATGCACAGGATGTAGAAGACTGCTCTGGAGGGCTTCTGGCTTTAGTGAAGCAGTACAATAGAAGCCATTTGAATACTTGTTTGTGGGTGTCTGGGCTCTCCAGGTTCTTCAGTTACACTCAGAGGGCAGGGGGAAGTAGGGTTACATCCGTGGCTCACAACACCTGTGCTGCTTGCACTTGAGATCTAGAAATCCCGTCTCCTGTGCAAGGCTGAGTTCCACGTGCTCATCACCTAGGCCTACATGGAATACTGTGATAGAGGGAGAAGAAGGGAGAGTTCACAGTGGGACCGGGCTGATGGAGGATGACTAGAGAATGGAAACTTTAAAAATAGGCAGTAGGATTCTCTTTTTATTTATGAGATGTGGTTTCACTGTGTTGCCCAAGCTGGCCTCAACTTCCAGGTCGGGAATGATCCTCCTTTCACAACTCCCCACCCCCCAGTTCCCTTCATCCTGCTTTGTATTTTGTGGATTTTATGCCAGGCTGATTTTTCTTTAGGGTCACGATGCTAAAATATATGCTTTGCTCAAAATAACCTGTCAGCCGTTCTCCCAAGCAAACGGAAACACTGCTGCTTGCAGCCCAGATACCTCCCACATTGCCCAGACTCAGGGCTTTTATGCCTGCCGGTGCTTCCAGTCAAGAGTGACCCTTCTCTCTCTTCAGCCTCCTGCTCCCTTGGTCAAAGAAAGGCTTAATTGGGAGCTGAAGGAAGGTATTAAGACAGTAGCATAGCTGTTTACTGTGTGTTGGAATTAGACCGACCCCAGCTTTGCCGTAGGCCCGGCACTGTGGGGAATTAACTGATGCTCCGCCCTGGCGTGGGAGGGAAGGTGCGCCGTCATGCCTCGTCATGGGATGTGGTGCCCGTCCAGCCCCCAGTGCAATCCGAGACCAGATTATCTCCAAGCTGCTGGTGTCCTTTCCCTGCTGTTGCAGGACTGTGTTTTGAATTAAATTATTTTAGGAACAGATGGTTGGCAGCGAAGTTTTCCCCTTTTGTTCTTAGTGAATCGAGTGTTTAGTTTGTTTTGGTTGTTCGCAGTGCTGGTTCTCTTGCTCTCCAGGTTGGTAGGAGAGGGTTGTGTTTTATTCAGGAAAGAAGAAAACGAGGCAAAGTGAAACATGGCATCTTCCAAAAAGCAGCACCATTGCTTGTGTTAAATCAGCATGTTCATATCTTCCTCCTCAAAGGAAACAAATCATACCAAGAGTCCGTAAATCCCAGCATGAGCCTCCTGTATTGATGGTTTAACTGTAAGATATATTAAAAAAATGTTTTGCAAGGGCATTATTTTAGCATTGTTTGGTGGCAATGGCAGTTTTGTTTTTATTTGTTTACTTCTTTTTGGTGTTGGTGCTGGGGTTTGAACTGAGCACTTGGCATTCTTGCTTAGCTTTTTGCCTCTCTCTTTCACACACATACATCTGTTGCCTCTGCCTATCTTTGTGCTGATACTGGAGCTTGAACTCAAGGCCTTGTGTTCTTGCTTGACTTCTTTGCTCAAGCTCCATTTGTAGCTTTTTGCTCATTAATTGCACACAAGAGACTCATAGATTTTTATGCTTGAGGTAGGTTTTTTTCTAACAATATGTCTTTTTTTTTTTCATTTTGGTCGGTTGTGGGCCTGGGTGCTGTTCCCTCAGCCCTTCAGCTCAAGGCTAGTGCTCTACCACTTGAACCACTTCAGCCACTTCTGGCTTTTTCTGCTTACATGGTGCTGAGGAATCGAACCCAGGACCTTATGCATGCAAGCCAAGCACTTTACCACTGAGCTACCTTCCCAGCCCTCTAACAATCTATCTTAAATCATATTTCTTATAACCAGTACTCACCAGTGGAGCGGGTAACATGGTAGGGACTACATCTGGGTATACATCTGGGATTTGAGAAAGAAAGGAAGACATTTTATTCTCCACGGCCGGGGTAGGAACAGATGAAACATAGGAATAAGAGAAGAGTGGTCTTCATGACACTAAGGACTCACTGACAAGTAGAAAAAGAATAAAAGTGGCTAAAGATTTGCTAAGTTGGCCACACATGGAAGTTAAAAAGACATGCCGGGCTGGGCGCTGGTGGCTCACGCCTCTCATCCTAGCTGTTCAGGAGGCTGAGATCTGAGGACCACCAGCCCAGGCAGAAAAGTTTGTGAGACTCTTCTATCTCCAGTTATCAGAAAGCCAGAAGTGGAACTGTGGGTCAGGTGGTAGAGTGCTAGCCTAGAGCAAAAGAAGCTCAGGGACAGTGCCCAGGCCCTGAGTTCAATTCGATTATACTATAAACTGGCTTTTTTTCAAGTTACTTTCTCTACTAACATTATTATTGTTATTAGTGCTTGTATTGGGGCTTAAATTCAGTTCCTGGGCCCTGCCCTTTATCTTTTTTGCTCAAGGTCTGTGCTCTATCACTTGAGCCATACTGCTTTGGCTTTTTGGTGGTTAATTGAAGATAAGAGTCTCACAGATTTTCCTCGATCTCAGCCTCCAGTAGCTAATTAAGATTACAGCTGTGAGCCAGCTTTTACTAATACTTTTAAGAAAATAGGGTGTGGTTGGAAGAACATTTGCATTCTGAGATCATTAGACCTGCCTTTCTTCATCACACTGTCTGCCATTTTGTGCTAGTCTTTAAACTCTTGGGGCCTCATTTGTACCAGAAGGGGTTTGGCTGGTCTCAAGGGATCCACATAGCTAGAAAGGTGCAGTCAGACAGGTAAGGGTTCCAACCGGAGAGTGTGTTTACCTTCATTGTCATGCTTTTGAGAGCCTGGGGCAAGGAAGCAGCCTGGTGGTGACCAGCGTGCATGTGCTGTTTCATGGTGGACATCCAATACACGTGTATTTTGTGGGCTTTGGGAGAGAAGACACCTTGACAGGGCTTCTTGCAGTGGGGTCGCAGCTGTGGGTCAGCTGGGAGCAGGGCACCGATCGGCTGGGTGACGTCTGCGTTCGATGCGTCATTTGCTGGCGTGCCACGGCTCTGCCTAGGTCTGGTCCCAGCCTCTGTTGCTTGTCTGTGTCGTCAGAGAGAGAACCTTTCATTCTTTTGTGATCCAAGGCTTTAGAGCTTGGAAATTGATCTCCAGGGCTTGAAGTGAGAGTCCCTGGTGCCTTTTAGGCGGAGAGAGTCTCACCTGGGTTTTCTAACCTCTTCCCGAATTAACTACAGAAGTAATTCCCTGTGGCCTGGCAGCTGCTGTCTCCTGGGTGTGCCTGTTTCTCCCCTAGGGTTTGGCAGAAAGAATAAAAGCATCTCAGCTTTATATTTCCCAATTGGAATTTTTGTACCTGTGTATTTTTTTCCCTCCAGTCAAGAGGACTTTTTTATGTTGTTTTTTTGACCTCCTTCGCTGTCCCTGTTCTATGTCCTCTTAAGGTGAGGTTGACCAAATGGCAATTGGCATCTGATCCTTTAGTTCATAAATCAGCCACTAAGTCTTGCTTATTATATGCTGTTTCATCTCTTGCTCTCTTCTGGTTTATGCGTTTCGGATTCATTTAAAATGGGATCCTGCTCCCTGTACAGCTCTTGTATTTCAAAACAAATTATATCATCGCAGAGTTTTAAAACACACATGAAATGATTTATCCATAGGCAAATTCTCAACTTGTATAACACACAGTTGGGCAGAAGCATGGTTTTATTACTACTTAAATGTATGACTTTTTGACTATCTCAGGCTCTTGGTCTGCTTTTCTGCTCATGGCTGGCCCTTTACCATTTGAGCCACACTTTCAGCCTGGCATTTTGCTGCTTAATTGCAGATGGAGTCTTGAGGCCTTTCTGTCCAGGCTGGCTTCAAACTACAACCCTCAGATCTCAGTCTCTTGAGTAGCTAGGATTATAAGCACCCTGCCAAGACTACTTCAAAAATTTTAGTGTCTTTACATTTGTGTAAAGATATTCTGTTCACAGAATTTTACATTAACTCAATTTTCATCTTGACTAGTGGATCTCAGATACTTCTGTTGTTGTTTTGTCTTCTATATGCATACACTATTTTAATTCAATAGTATTTGTCTTTGTAAGCTCATAAATTAGATATTTGTGTAATTTATTTGTATTATTTATATTATCATTATTATATATATTTATATTACTATGTGTTCATCACTTATTTTCCATTTCTTCTGAGATAATTACGCTTCTTCCTGATGGATATCTTTGTGTCCTTTGAATATCTTTGGTGTTAACACTTTTTATCTTAAGACTTTATTATTTTGTGTGTTTTCTTGATTACTCAAATCCAAGATGTCAAACATTTTCTCTTTTTTTTTTTTTTTTTGGGTCCGGTCATGGGAACTCTGGGCCTGGGCGCTGTCCCTCAGCTCTTCAGCTCAAGGCTAGTGCTCTACCACTTGAGCCACTGCGCCACTTCTGGCTTTTTTTTTCTGCTTATGTGGTGCTGAGGAACTGAACCCAGGGCCTCAGGCATGCAAGGCAAGCGCTCTACCACTGAGCCACCTTCCCAGCCCCATTTTCTCTTTCTTGTTCATTGTCATCTGGCTTCTAGTTCTGCAAAATAGTTATCTGCTGTGTATTACAATCACTTAACCAGCTCTGCTGCTTTTATAGTTTGCCTTTATTTTTGTTTTTCTGTGGTCTCCTGTTTGTGGGTGTAAGTTAAAAAAACATTCACCCTGCTTGAGAGTTCATGATCTTCTTACAATATAGAATTAATGTTGCTTATTAATTTTGGAAGATCCTTTGCACTCTTTCTTTGAATCTTGTCTCACTTTTTTCTTAAAAAAAATTTTTTTTTTTTTGTTAGTGGTGGGACTTGAACTCTGGGCTTGGACGCTGTTCCTCAGCTCTTTTTTTTTTTTTTTAAAATTGTGAAAATACCGTACAGAGGGGTTACAATTACATAGGCAAGGTAATGAGTACATTTCTTATCAAGCATTGTTGCCTCCTCCTTTGTTTCCCCTTACCATCCCTTCAGCATCAAATAAAACAGTAAAAACAGGGGTTATACCATGGGGAGGGACATACAAAGCAACAAAGAAATCATCTTATAAATATGTTAGAAACAATAGTATGTTCCTCAGCTCTTTCAAGCGCTCTACCACTTGAACTGCACCATCACTTCTGATTTTCTGAGTGGTTTATTGGAGATAAGAGTCTTACGGACTTTACTGCCCAGGCTGGTTTTGAACTGTGATCCTCAGGTCTCAGCCTCCTGAGTAGCTAGGATTACAGGTATGAGCCACTGGCGCCCGGCTTCTTAAATTTTTTATCTAGTTGATATTGGACTGTCCTATCTTTACTGTGACTTAAGGCTTCTATTGTTAGGTTTTCATCTATTTGTTTCTCTGTTTCCCATTTTGAGTAAATTCTTCAGTTTTATCTTTCAGTTTTTAAATCTCACTTTAACGGTATCTAAATTGCTGGTTCTACATGTACAGTGAGCTATAACAGGTTAGTTATGGTATTTTTCATTTCGAAATTTTCTTTGTTTTCAAATATTTCTGGCCAGTTTTTGTGTTTTTTTTTTGCTTAAACTCAGGACCTGGTGAGATTTTCTGCTCAAGGTTAGCATTCTACTACTTTGAACTACAGCTTCATTTCTGGTATTCTAGTAGTTAATTGGAGGTAAGAGTCTCACTGACTTTCCTGCCTGGGCTGACTTTGAACCGTGATCCTCAAATCTCAGTTTCCTGAGTCGCTACGATTATAGGCGTGAGACACTGGGGCCTGACTACCAGCCAGTTTTTATAACCTGGTGCTCTTTACTCATGTTTATGGTCCCTCATTACTTAAAATGAGTTAAGTGTATCTTTAAAAAAATATATTCTAGAATTCCAGTATCTACAGTTTTTTAAAGATCTGATGTTATTTGTGGGGATTTCTTTTGACTTGATTTTTTTCATGATACCTTATTTCCCTGTGTGTTTTATAAATTCTATTCTGTACTCATATTTGTTATAGCCTTAGCAATAGCAATACTTCATTGCTGATTGGAGAGTATGCTTTTCTTGGGGCCCTTTTTTTTTTTTTTTTGATATAAGATCTTGTTACCTTGTCCAGGCTGAATCTTAATTATGTGGACTCAAGTGATTCTTCTGTCTCAGCCTCCTAAGTATCCAGAACTATAAGTGCATGCCACCATGCCTGGCTTTAGGACAATGGATGTTGGCATCTGCCAGACATTGTGGAGCAGATCTACTTCAAATTAAGGGTCTTAGTGTATGATATTGAGCTATACATATATGTTCTAAGCTTTTTGCATACCTGCTGTCTAAAGTCAAAGTTGAGGTAGACATTCTCTCGCTTTCTCTCTCTCTTTCTCTTTCTTTCTTGCCTAAAGAACAGAGATGAGCCAGGCGCTGGTGGCTCACACCTGTAATCCTAGCTACGCAGGAGACTGAGATCTGAGGATCGCAGTTCAAAGCCAGCCTGGTCAAGAAAGACCGTGAGACTCCTATCTCTAATAAACCACTAGAAAACCGGAAGTGGTGCTGTGGCTCAAGTGGTAGAGTGCTTGCCTTGAGCTGAAGAGCTGAAGGACAGTGCTCAGGCCCAGAGTTCAGGTCCCACGACCAACAATAACAACAACAACAACAAAAGAACAGAGATGAATTATCTCAGGTGTGGAGGCTACAAGCCCAAGATGAAGGCATAGGTGCGGCTGGTTCACTCTGTGGTCTGTGAGGGTGAATCTGTTCCATGGGAGTCTCCTAACTGCTGGGGGTTGGCTAGTATTCTTGGACTTGTAGATATGTCCCCTGATCTCTCATCTTCACGCACGCATGCGTGTCCCCACATTTCCCTCTGCTACTCAGGACACCTTCGTAACATGAAGTAAGTTAAAGATTATCCCTGTACTAGTTCACCCATTGGCACAGGTGAAAGTAGAGCTCTGGTTGATGACTGTTGCCCGGTGACGTGGACGGGACCCTGTGCTGTCCTCAGCAGCTGGACCGTTGCTTCCCCTTCTTGTCTACTTGAACTACAAGGGAGTTGCCAGTACCTTATAAGTGCGGGCGGCTGCCGGGCGCCGGTGGCTCACACCTGTAATCCTAGCTACTCAGGAGGCTGAGATCTGAGGTTTGAAGCCAGTCAGGGCAGGAAAGTCCACGAGACTCTTGTCTCAAATAAATTAGCAAAAAAAAAAAACAAAAACAAAAAAAGCCAAATTGACACTGTGGTTCAAGTGGTAGAGCACTAGCTTTCAGCAAAGGAAGGTTAGGGACAGCACTCAGGCCCTGAGTTCAAGCCCCAGGATTGGTTAAAAATAAATAATTAAAGATAGTAGCTGTCACTGGGATGAAGGCTAGGAGAGTCTGAGCAGATAACTGTATGCTTCAGCGCTTTTGGAACTTAGTAGCAACATATCTCTTATTCATTCACTGGGTGGATATTTATTGAGTTTCTACACTATGCATTCACTGTGGTAGCCATAGAAAAAGAGAGAAACAATAGGGTGTTTTTTGGTTTGTTTGTTTTGCTTGTCCCTGAACTCAGGGCCTGAGAACTGTCCCTGAGCATCTTTTTGTTTAAGGCTAACACTCTACCACTTGAGCCACAGCACCACTTCTGGCGTTTTCTGTTTATGTGGTACTGAGGAATTGAACCCAGGGTTTCATGCATGCTAGGCAAGCGCTCTACCACTAAGCCACATTCCCAGTCCAGAAACAATGTTTATTAATTACTCTCTCCTGTTTCTGAGAAGCTACAGTCTAATGAGCTGGTTAATTTCGGCAGGTACAGTCACAAATGGGACTGGAAGGGACTCACTAACTCCCCTTTAGTCAGAAGAAGGAGGTCAGAGCTACACTCTAGCTGAAGGGCCAGTGGGAGAATCCAGACAGATGGTGGCAGCAATGTGCAAGTCACAAAGCCAGAGTAGATGTGGGTTTGGCAAAAGATATATATGTATGTATATATATATTTCACATATATAGATATATGCTTTGTGTGTGTCTGTGTGTGTGTGTATGCATGTGTGTGCTGGTACTAGAGTTTGAACTCAAGGCCTTGAGCTTTACCTGGCTTTTTCACTCCAGGCTGACTACCCCTTGAGCCACAGCTCCACGTCTGACTTTTTGGTATTTAATTGGATGCAAGAGTCTCACAGACTTTCCTGCCCAGGCTGGCTTTGAACTGTGATCTTCAGATCTCAGCCTCTGAGTAGCCAAGATTATAGATATGAGCACCAGCATACAACTAAGGATGTGGATTTGTCTAGAGTATAGTTGTATAGGCCTGAGAGGAGGGGGTGGGGCAGGGATGGTGAAAAGTGGGCTGGGAGGTGTCTGGAGCCTGCATGGGAAGGGCCAGAAATTGGCAAGGAGCACAGCTGGAAAACCGTGGGAGCCTCTAACTGGGATAGAACATCAGGAGCCGTCTGGTTCATTTCTCTTAGGAGCCAGCTCTTGTCATGGGCTTTGGAGTTGAGGCAGCCTTGGATGGGTGCTCTTGTAGGTAATTTATTGATCTTCCCTAGTCAGTGAATGTGTAGTTAATTTATGGACCTTCCCTAAGCTCCCATTCTTTGTGTGTTGGGTGATTGGGAGAGAATGGCTAGACAGCCTTGGAAAGCCCCTTGCATTTCCTGTCTTCTGACTGTGTGTTGTTAGAAAGTACAAGACATCAAAAAAGCGTGCAAATGTGTTCACATGTATGCAAGCTGGAGTAAAGGTGCTGCTCAGGTTTATGAATATTTACAGATACTGTCGTGTCTGGCTTCCAGCTCACTGCTGAACTTCTAACTGCGAATCGCGGGGCTTTCTCGTGAACGGGTGTTTGCAATGAGTGTGTGTTTTCTGCCTGTCACACAATGTTCGCCGTGTGACTTAGTGCCTCCCGGCTAACGCAGCTTTGGTTTTCTTCCTAGATGAGATCTATCTGGAACAGCAGCACAACCTTTCTTCACCCTCCGTGGAGTTCCTGCAGGAGACCAGCGTGGCGCGCAGCCCTGCCCTTATGGCCTTAACAGAGACTGCTCCGGGGTCCCAGGCAAGCTGGTCTCTCCTCCTGCCCTCCTCTTCATCTGCCATTGCTTTGGACACCACCTTTTTAAACGATGGTCCACAGACCCCAAGCGCAGCAGATCCCAGCATCTTTGTGGCGAATTATGGCTCAGTGATGAGTAATGAGGTAGCCATCGATGAGGAGGAAATGGATAACTGTCTACCAGAGGCTCCCTGGACCACTTCACAGATGGTTTTCCCACTGCAGGATCTCACCACCAGCCCGCCAGAGCCACCCCGGGAAACGCCCGCGCCTCTGCTCACCCCATCCAGACCCACAATTTCTTTGCTGGGTGAAGAAGTGACTTCAGCCTGGCGAAACACACTGCAGCCATCAGGGGCATATGCTGAATCCTCCAGTCACTTCAACACTTTTGGGTCAGCTTTTCCCACCTCCGAGGGCTTCATGCCAACTCCTAGTAGGAATGTGGTGCTTTATCCTACTCCTGAAATTCACAGCCAGTTATCAAGTAGGACTTTGCCAGAATTTTCAGCTTCAGTAATGGAGGAGGCAGCAACTCTCCTTTTTAGCATCCCATCTTTGATGCCTCAGCCGTCAGGCGATGGCATGACTCAACAGCCATCTGTCCCCCCGAGGGAGGTCTCGCCGCCTCTAGAAGATGTCCTGGCCACGAGCGCAGATCGGTATCCGGCTAGGACCTCTGCTTGGAGTCAACATCTAGAAGAAACCACCCCTCCAAAAGTGTATCCCACTGTCACTGTGTCGCGGACAGCCCCTGCTTTGAGCAGCATACCTTTTGCTTTATTTTCAGACTCTTTGGCATTTGTGTCCTCTGCTAGCCAGTCAGCGGATGTGTCCCACAGCCCCTTCCTTTCGAGCAGTGCTGGCGGCGCGTCTGAACTGCCTGGCAGTTCTGTGGTCTCCCCTTGTGTGGATAACACGTGTGTCTTGAGCCCAGTGGCCGCTCTCCGAACGCACACGTGGTGCACGTCTTGTGCTGAGATGTCACCTCAGCCGGGTCTGGCCACGAGTCTTACGGGGAAAGACCTGGGGTCAGGAGATGAGCCAGAGACCATGACCACAGCCATGGTGGACCGAAGCCACTCTCCATGGAGCAGTGTGGGTGCAGAGCTCTCTGCATTTGAAGAAAATCCTCAAGAGTTTAATACGCTTTTCCCCTCCAGGCCTGTTCTGTCCCTTTCTTCCAGATCTGTGGACATCTTAGACTCAAGCTCTGGCATGTCAGCTAGGGTGGATGTGGACACTGTTACCACCACCCACGGGTCCCCTTCCCATGTCTGCTTCTCCCCATCTGTGTCACCTGATCCTGCTTTGGACTCTTCCTCTGTCACCCAGGCCCAAGAGACACCATTCAGTGTGACAGCTGTGTTCCCCTCTGTGGTCCCGAGTATTTCCCTTGACTTGTTTTTCTCAGTCACGTCCAACCAAAATACTCCATCACATGCTGGCAGAGACCCAACCCCGCTGACCTCTTATAGTTTGGTTGGCTTAGTGGAGTCTATACATATGTCTGACCAAGAATCTACCAGTGTTTTTGAACATGGATCGGGCTTTTATTCAACCCCACCTCTGGAGCTCAGCAGCCCAGGCCCTTCTACTTCAGGGGGTCTTGCTTCTCCCTCTGGGATGTCAAGTGATCTGTCCGCCTTCAAGTTGCAGACCTTCCCCACCCTGGTTGAGACTCTTGCATTGTCTGTCAGCTCGCAGTCATCTCCACTTTCTGTTCTGAATTCCTCAAACCTGGAGTCTCTTCAGCCCTGGCCAAGTTCAGAGGTGGCTTTCAACACAGTCACTTTTCTATGGAACCTCTCTGCCGCATCGCCATTACTCTCAAGCTCCCCCTGGGACTCTCTCAAGTTCACCAAAGCATCGACCAGTTTGCCAATGGAGTCAGATGCTCATTTTACCTCAGCTTTTACTGAAACTACCTCCACCTCTGAGCTTCCTCTCATTCCCCACGAATCTGAACTCATCACATTCGTGCACGCCACCGGCTCTGAGCCTGTTCTCGACCTCTCTTCTACCGAGACTTACTTCCTGCCCATGTCTCCTTCTTCCCATTGGACACCCATTTTTATGGAGTCTTTTCTATCCTCAACTTTGACACCTTCCAATAGCCATATCCACACTACAGATGCACACACATTGGGCTCCCCCTCCTCCAAAGTTACTCCCAGCAGTACAGAGTTGTTGACCCATGTGACCCTGTCATCTGTCTCCTCATTGGTTCCTGAGTTGAGTCCCTCCCCTCTGCCTACAGAGACAGTCCCCATGCGTCCATCCTCCACACCCACAGATTTCTTTCCAAATTCCTCCCCTGCGCCAAGCACGCCCAGTACCACTGTTGTCATAGAGGATGCAGTGGACACTGGCCCCAACAGTGATCGTGTAAGCGAGAACCCCCAGGGGAGCAGTGTGGCTCCTCCTCCGCCATCCTTCGGTCCCTGGACCACCTCCATTCCTGAAGCAACAGTGGGGCTCCCAGCACTGGTCACCACCAAGCCACCGTATGTGTGTGATATTACAGTTCCGGACGCTTACTTGATCACGACTGGTAAGACTGCGTCTCCTCATCTCTGTGGGGTAGGAGGTCTTGCTAAGATGCTCATGTGAAGGCCTTCTGGGGCAGACCATTATATAGCTAGGAGTGCAGACAGTGGCTTCACAGAACCTCCCATAGTGATCCTTCTCCTCTGCCTGCCTTCTGTGAACTCTCCAGTTACCTAGCCTATTCCTCTGTCTCCCAAACTGTTAAAACAAGGATGAAAATGACATCTGCTGCATGGCCTTATTGTAAAGATTTGCATTCATGATGTTATTATAAAGATATGCATGCATGCATGTAAAATGTTTAGTCGGTCCAGGAGATGGTGGCTTACGCCTGTAATCCTAGCTACTCAGGAGGCTGAGATCTGAGGATCACAGTTTGAAGGTAGCCTGGGAAAGAAAGTTTGTGAGACTCTTATCTCCAATTAACCACCAGAAAACCAGAAGTGGAGCAGTGTCTCAAAGTGGTAGGGTACTAGCTTTGAGTGACAAAGCTCAGGAACAGTGCCCAGGACCTGAGTTCAAGCCTCATGATTGACAAAAAAAAAAGTGTTTAGTCTGAATATGGCATCTAGGTATACACAAAATATTGCATGTTTGTAGTTGCAATAAGGACAAATAAGAGATTTTAATGAGCCATAGAAAATTTTCCTAGGGTTTTGAGCGTTTGCATAGATGACATGATTGAAGTGAAAAACATTCTTATTTAATTCAACCAGAGAGTTGGCAATTGAATTAGGACAACCCTTAGAATTTCTTATTAACTTACTATTCTTTTGCTTTTCTATATAGTTTTGTCTCTAGGATACTTGATTTCTCCTTTCTTTATTCTTCTCTCTTCTCTCTCTCTTTGGGCATGGGGCTTGAACTCCAGGTCTGTGCACTGTCCCTTAGCTTTTTTATTCAAGGCTAGCACTCTTTTTGTTGTTGTTGTTGTTGGTTGTGGGGCTTGAACTCTGGGCCTGGGCTCTGTCCCTGAGCTCTTCAGCTCAAGACTAGTGCTCTACCACTTGAGCCACAGCACCTCTTATAGCCTTTTCTGTTTATGTGGTACTGAAGAATCGAACCCAGGGCCTCATGCATGCAAGGCAAGCACTCTACCACTGAGCCACCTTCCCAGCCCTGAGGCTAGCACTCTTCTACTTGAGTCACAGCTTTACTTCTGGTGTTTGATGGTTAACTGGACTTTCTTGCCCAGCCTAGCTTCAAACCATACCCTCAGCTCTCAGCTTCCTGAATAGCTAAGATTATAGGTGTGAGCCACTGTCTCTCAGGTCTGTTTCTCATTTTTTAGTAATTTTCTATCAGTGAGTTCAGAGAGGGGTTTGAAGTGATTTGTGTGCATGTGGTGCTGGGGAAATTGGACTTAGGTGCTCTACTACTTGAGCCATGCTCGTGTTACTCTTTCTATGGAGCTCAGTTGGAGACCAGAGTTAGTTCATGATGGACTTTGAGGGAGTCATATGACCATGGTCATTTAGTGAGGGGTAAGTGTGGTCTGGAGGTCTCCCTCTCTACTGTCGGCACTCTCTACTTGTACACAGCTGGACAACTGTAAGAGGAAAATGGGAACCGGGAGCATTTTGTCTCCTGGCTGGAGACAGCAGCTGCTTCCTGATCTGAGGCACCAGGGGTAGAGACTTTGTGCTCATGCTGTGCTTGCTTACCTGGCATCTTCAAGTCCCCCGTCCCCACAGCTGTTCCTTCTAGTATTGGCCAGCTTGGACTCTTCTGCTGTGGTTAGTGTGGGTCTTGTGTTACAAAACACACCGTGGCGTCACTCTGTGGTCCAGAAGCGGGACACCATCCTTCTTCATCGTGGCACTAAAACACATGTGGTGGTTGGATTTCATTTGCAGTGCTGGCCCGTCGGGCGGTGCAGGAGTACATCATCACGTCAATTAAGGAAGTGCTGAGGATCCACTTCAGCAGGGCAGTGGAGCTAAAGGTGAGTCTCTGAGGCTCGAGGGGTCTCACGTTGGACAGACTGGATGTGGCAACAGGTGGCCCCAGCCGTCCAGTTACTCTCTTTCCTCTGTATTATACCTCCCTGGCTCACTTGCCATTCTCTCCATCTCCAGCAAGCATCATTCTATCAGGGGAGACTGTCCTGATCTCAGACAGGCTCTGGTTTTGTCTAATGGAAGGGGGGAGGGAGTTATGTGTTGGCAGAGCTGGAGCCAAAGACTCTCAATCCAGAGAATATGGTTTGGGATGAGGACCTAAATGGTTTTGCTTACCTTGGTTTCCATGATAGGACTCAGGTTTGAGTCCACATATCTTTCTGCACACCAGTGAGAGAAATGGAGTTCTGCATTGTTTATACTGGACCCCATGATGGGAGCCTGCGCCCAGAGGAGTTCCGGAGCTAGGTCCACTCTAGCCATGCATCACGGTGGCTGTGGGCTCAGGTGCACTGAGGTTGCTACACAGCACCTTTCGGAAATGCAGAGAAAAGGCATGTCCCACAAAGAAGCGCTTTGTTTTGTTTTTGTTTTTGCAGTGCTGGGGATGTTTTTGCAGTGCTTTGTGCATAGGCAAGCACTGAACTACTGAGTTATATACTCTAGTCAGTCACTGATGTGTGTGTGTGTGTGTGTGTGTGTTGGTACTGGAGCTTGAATTCCAGGGCCTAGCTTGCTCACTTAGCTTTTTTACTCAAGTTGGAGTTCTACCACTTGAGCTTCATGCATCTCTGCTTCTGTTTTTTTTATTGGTTATTTGGAGATAACCAATCAGATCTCACATTTATTTACCTGGCTAGCTTAGAACTGGAATCCTTAGATCTCAACCTCCTGAGTAGCTAGGGTTACAGGTGTGAGCCACCAGCGCTCAGCTACTAATAATTTTTTGAATTGACTCCACGTTTAAATGATGTTTCAGATATATTAGATGAAATGAAATATTTCAAGTTTAATTTCACCTGTCTTTATGTTTTTAATGTATCCGCTGGAATTCTTACTATTGCATAGGGGGCTCCCATTCTGTTTATTTTGGACAGTGATACTCAATAGAATGAGTTCTCTTTTCTGTGTGGTTTAAGTATAGCAAACATATTGATTTTTCCATAGCTCATTATTCAGTTTTCTCCTTGCTCCTCCGCATGGTTTTGAGAAGAATATAAAAGGAATAGATAAAATTAAATCTTGATTATGTATCATTTACTCTTTTTTTTTTCATTTACTCTTTTACTTCAAGTACCGATACTTTCTTTTACCTAATTTATTATTTTTCTATTCAGCACAACTTCCTTTAAGTTTGAGTTACCTTTAATGTCTTCTTTCCTTAGGTGTATGAACTATTTCCTGACTTCACATTCCTGGTAACATCTGGACCTTTTGTTTACACGGCAATATCAGTCATTAATGTCCTCATCAATAGTAAACTTGTCCGAGACCAAACTCCTTTAATCCTGTCTGTGAGACCTTCCTTCCTCGTGCCCGAGTCCAGGTTCCAAGTTCAAACAGGTGAGAGACACCACTGAGTACGGTGGTTTTGATTAGTAGACAGAATTTTGTTTCTTAATTTTTAAGAGATTGGGTATTGTTTTTAAAATGTACTAGTCTGTCTGTCCATCTGTTAATCCATCCATCATCCCTCCATTTATTTTTAAAAATTTTTTATTGTAAAGATACTGCACAGAAGGTTTACAGTTACACGAGTAAGGTAATGAGTCCATTTCCTCTCGAGCATCGTTACCTCCTCCTTTGTTTTCCCCGTACCTCCATTTGTTTTGAGATGTGTTGCTGTACTTTCTGGAATGGATTAGAACTTGAATGATCCTCCTGCCTTAGCCTGCCGGGTCAGGCATGTGCTGCCATACCTGGCTCTATTATTTAATTTTAAGAAAACTTGATAGTAATGGAAAAAAACCCTAAAACATAAAAGCAGAAGGAGTAGTTTAATGACCCTCCCGGGTACACACCATAGACTTTCATCCATTTTCAGCTCTTTCCCAGGCACATTATGGTTACAGCCCATGTCACATTCCTCTACACTGACTCTCAGAGACCATATCATTACTCTTAAGTTTTCAGCTAGAAAGGTGGCTCAGTGGTGGAGTGCTTGCCTAGCATGCATGAAACCCTGGGTTTGATTCCTCAGTACAACATACACAGAAAAAGCCGGAAGTGGTGCTGTGGCTCAAGTGGTAGAGTGCTAGCCTTGAGCAAAAGAATTTGCTCAGGGACAGGGCCCAGGCCCTGAGTTCAAGCCCCAGGCCTGGCAAATAAAAAAAGAAAAAATTCAGCCTAAACCTTAAAAATTTAAGGACCGTTAGACACATACATATGTTCCCCATCTTTGTACTTTACTTTTTCTTCAAAAGTGCTATCCTTCTTGCCAGTAAGGATATCATCACTGACCACAGAACAGGATGCTATGTCCTGAAAGGAAAACTTTTTCATGTGTGTGCTGGTCCTGGGGCTTGAACACTATACCTGGGTGCTGTCCCTGAACTTTCTGGCTCAAGATAAGTTCTCTACCACTTGAGCCACAGTTCCACTTAGGGCTTTTTGCTGGCTAATTGGAGTTAAGAGTCTCAAAGACTTCCTTCCCAAGCTAGCTTTAAACTGTGATTGTCAGATCTCAGCCTTCTGATTAACAAGGATTATAGATGTAAGCCATCAGTGCCCGGCTGATTGTTACATATTGTATACATGTATTGAAATGTCACACATCCCCGTCAATACATACAATTACTGGGAGTTAATTAAATGCATATTTTAAAAGATTTATCTGAAAGAAAGAAATAATGTTTCATCGTGGTCAGCCCCATACTATGGATGAAATTGTTGATTTAGATATTTTTTCCTGTCTTCATCTCTTAAGTCTTCAACCAAAAAAAAAATTTTTTTTTGGTTGGTCCTGAGGCTTGAACTCAGGGCCGGGGGCTATCTCTGAGCTTTTTTTTTTTTTTGCTAAGGATCATTCTGCCCCTTTGAACCACAACTCCACTTCAGTTTTCTGGTGGTTAATTGGAGATAAGAGTCTCATGGGGATTTTTCTGTCCAGTCTGGCTTCGAACTGTGATCCTCAGATCTCAGCCTCCTGAGTAGCTAGGATTACAGGTGTGAGCCACCAGTGCCTGACTTTGATCTCCTAACTCTTAAACTGCATCTCTTTCATGAGACTTTGATCACTGTCCTTTTCAGTGCTTCAGTTTGTGCCTCCAAGTGTGGATACTGGTTTTTGCAACTTCACCCAGCGCATTGAGAAAGGTCTGATGACGGCGCTCTTTGAAGTGAGAAAACATCATCCAGCCCCCTACAACCTCACGGTGCAGGTAAAAGGATCTTGCCCACAACACAACAGGAAGACTTCTTCCACAATGTCTTATTGCCTCTCATCCTCTCCAGTGGAAAAAGCCCAGTTGGTGTGGACCAGGGTTGATCGCATCCTGTGCTGCAGAGTCTAGATAACACAAAGGGGCTGTGTAGTGCTGGAAGCAGTGCTCGAGTAGCTGATGACCAGAGAGCTCAGATATGATGAGCTGACCACAGGAGACCTCATACAGGAGAGTTAATAGTATTCAGGCTAAACAGCTGACCAAGGACTATGGTTTTCATGGAAGTTGATTATGCCTTATCTGAAGTGTTTTTAGGATCAGAATTGGGAGTTTGGGGATTTCAGAATATTTGCAGAGACCTGACTGGTTGAGCTTCTCTAATCTGAGAATCTGAAATGACTCAGAATCCCAAACTCTTGTGTGTGTGTGTGTGTGTGTGTGTGTGTGTGTGTGTTGGTACTAGAGCTTGGACTCAGGGCCTGGATGCTGTGTGTGTGTGTGTGTGTGTGGTGTGTGTGTGTGTGTTGGTACTAGAGCTTGGACTCAGGGCCTGGATGCTGTCCGTGAGCTTTTGTGGTCAAGGCTAGCACTCTACCACTTTGAGCGGTTACTTGGACTTTCCTGCTTAGGCTAGCTTTGAACTTCGATCCTCAGTTGTCAGCCTCCTGAGTAGGTAGGATTACAGCCATGAGGTTCTAGCTCCTGGCTTTGAGCATGCTCACTGTTGCTCTGCTGAGGTTCCGGTTTGGAACTGATGAGGTTTTTAGATTAGGCATGTTCCACCTGTATTGTAGAAATGTTGTGGGACACAGCCTAAACATAGAAAAGGATTCTCTTCAAAGAACTGGCTGCAGATATCGTGTGCAAACTGCTGATATTTCTGTATTTCTTTGGTCTTTTTATTTATTTTTTATTTTGTCAGTCATAGGGGCTTGAACTCTGGGCCTGGGTACTGTCCTTGAGCTCTTCAGCTCAAGGCTAGTGCTCTACCACGTGAGCCACAGCACCTCTTCTGGTTTTCTGGTGGTTTGTTGGAAAATAGAGTCTCATGAACTTTCCTGCCCAGGCTGGCTTTGAACCACGATCCTCAGATCTCAGCCTCCTGCGTACCTAAGATTGTAGGTATGAGCCACTGGTGCCTGGATATTTCTTTGATCTTTTATTTTTCCCTCTTCCAGACTCTTCTCTTTCTGGATTATAAATTAACTAGACTTTTCCTGCATGCACTTTCATGTTTCTTAGTTCTTCGTATTTTACTTATCTTTTCAATTCTTTGTTTTTACAGATTTCCCTAAACTGCATCTTTGCAGTCACTAATTCAGTCTATCATGGTGTCTATGAGATTATTCAATCTTTCTGCTGAGATTTTTTTTTTTAGTAGTCATTTTTTCCCTCATTCAACTTTGCTCCTTTCCTGAGATAATATAGGATTACCTTCAGAGTCTCTGAGGTCATGAGTTAGGGTTTTTGAATTTGCCTGTTATTGCCTACATTATGTCAGTTTTCTCTGCAACTCTATTGACTTCTATCCCTTGCTTTTATGCAGCTAGTTTTCCATTAAGTGTCTGGAGACTATTGTTGGTAGTTATTTGTTTGTTAGGGATGAAGAACCAGATTTATTTTGGAAGTTGGTCCACTTTTCCCCTTCTGTTTGAGGGGAGTGGGGGAGAGGGAGAAGGAGAGGGAGAGGATGTGTGTTATGAAAAAACCTCTTTTCCTTTCATTTGCAGTCCTGCTTTGTCTTTTGCATGACCTGGTATGCACTTGAGTTATTATTGCCTTTCTCTCTTTCTTGCCATAGGGTTTGAAGCCTTTTATTCCCCTGGGGCAGTGACTCTTTTCTCTTAGGATCCAGTTCTCCGGACTATTCTGGGAGTTGGGGCGGCTGCTAGCACCTGGATGTAGCCATTAGGAGCAGAAGAGGAGAAAGGCAATGAACTTGGCTCTTTGGGATTCAGGCTTTTAATTGATTAGTCTAATTCTTGTTCCATAGCTACTTTTGGTCTCTGGTCCTCTGCTCTCCCCCATGGGGCCTGGACCTGGGGAAACAGTGACTCCCAGCTCAGCTTTTGGTGTGTGCCTGTGTGTACCTGTGTGTTTGCTGGGTATTGGTTTCTTTCCTTCTTGTTTCAATATGATTCTCTCCCTATTTCATCATCAGAGCTTTAGTCTCCTTATTGTTGTTTCACTGGGATTTGGGGTGGGTGACAGAGGCTGAAGGGAAAGAAATCCACAAGGTCAGCTCAGCATTTCATGCAAAAAACACTTGGGGGGAAATGCTGCAGGAAGGAACCAGGTTAGAAAGACAGTTATTCTTCCTTTAAAAAGGTTTTTTTCTTTTAAAATCTCACCAGGCACTGGTGGCTCACATCTATAATCCTAGCTACTTAAGAGGCTGAGATCTGAGGATTATGGCTCAAAGCCATTGCTCACCTCCAGCAGGCAAAGCCCATGAGACTCTTATCTCCAATGAACCACTAAGAAGCCTGAAGTGAAGCTGTGGTTCATGTGGTAAAGTGCTAGTTTTGAGTGAAAAAGTTAAGAGACAGTACTCAGGCCCTAAGTTCAAGTCCTGGTACTGGTACCACCCTCCCCCCCCCAAAAAAAAAAAAAGAAAAGAAAAAAGAAAAACGGGGAGGAGAGAGAGAACCTGTATGAGAGAAACCTTAGTCAATTTCAGTTGTTTTCAGCTGAATGATTAAATTTATTCTAAAAACTTCTGACTTTTTTTTTAAACTCCAGATCTTGAACGTGACTGTTGGTTCTTCGAGGATGGCTCCTCGGCGGGGCCCAGTGAATATTATCTTTGCTGTTAGAGGCACACAAGGATTTTTGAATGGGTCAGAGGTGAGCGAGCTGCTCAGGAACCTGAGTGTGGTGGAATTCAGCTTCTATCTGGGGTACCCGGTGCTGCAGATTGCAGAGCGTGAGTACTGAGCTCCTTGGAGGAGCTGGGGAAGTGGCGGTGGGTATTTTTGATGGAGGATCTCTTTTTAAAAAATATTTTGTGTGTGTGTGTGTGTACGTGTGTGTGTGTGTGTACGTGTACGTGTGTGTACGTGTACGTGTGTGTGTACGTGTGTGTGCGTGTATGTGTACGTGTGTGTATGTGTGTGTGTACGTGTACGTGTGTGTGTGTGCGTGTGTGTGTGCGTATGATGGTACTGGGTCTTGAACTCAGGGCCTCATGTTCTCCTTTAGCCTTTTTTTGCTCAAGGCTGGAGCTCTACCGCTTAAACCACAGCTCCATTTCCAGCTTTTTGATGGATATTTGGAGATAAGAGTCTCACGGACTTTTCTGCCTGGGGTGACTTTGAACCAGTCTTCAGTAACTAGGATGGTGGACAGGAGCCACTAGTGCACAGCCCATTTTTAATTTTATAGAGGGATTTGATTTGAAGCAATTTCAGGTTTACAGCAACTGGAATCTAGAGGTACTGAAATGTCCCCTTTTCCTTCTCCGACCTCCACAGCATCCCCCATCTCAACGTCCAGCTCTAGAGTGGGCCATTAATTGTAGCTGGTGAACCCATATAGGCTCACTCATCACCACGCAGAGTCCATAGTTTATCTTGGAGCTCTGCCTTGAGTGAGCATCTATAGATGTAGACAAGTGTGTGATGCCTTTATTCTGTCATGGGAAGTAGTTTCACTGAGCCCCTTTTTCCAGAGGAACTACTTGATGGAACATCAACATAAATCAGATCAAATTGGAACTTCTCACGTTTCAGCCAGAGCGGCATACTCTGTGCCTTGCTTGTGTTGCAGTTCTGCAGATCCTACCAGAGTCTGGTGAATGCTAGGCAAGAGCTCCCTTACTGAGTTGCATCACTACCTTCTGTTTTTTTTTCCCTCAAGGCAAGTGGGATATTGCTTAAAAGTATGCCAATTCTAGCTGGATGCTGGTAGCTCATGCCTATAATCTTATAATTGTAGCTACTCAGGAGGTTGAGATCTGAGGATTGTGGTTCAAAGCCAGCCCAGGCGGAAAGTCCACGACACTCTTATTTACAGTTAGCTACCAGGGGTTAATTGTAAATAATTTTCGATTTTTTTGCGCAAAGCGCGCGCGCACACACACATACACCCCCCTCCCCCACACAAAATGCTAATTCTAGAAAAGCAAAATATGGACATTGGGAACAGATATGTGGCTGTTAGTATAAACAGGGAGGGAGGTTTGTCTATAGAAGAGCATTCAAAGGTGTTTGGGTGCTATGAATTATCCTGTATCTTCATTGTGGTGGATTTTGTGACTATACATTTAGCACACTCCTAATGCTGGATGTCAAAAAGAGTGGATTTTACTCTGTACTGACTAAAACAAAAACAAAATGAAATGAAAACAAACCCTTTCTTCCTGGCTTAGGCCATTAGATTCCCAGTGCAAATGGAGATAGTTGAGAAGAATGGGGGAAAGTTTACTTTAAAAGATAGCAGATTCTGGGGCTGGGAAGGTGGCTCAGTGGTAGAGTACTTGCCTTGAATGTATGAGGCCCTGGGTTTGATTCCTAAGTATCATATAAGCAGAAGAAGCTGGAAGTGGTGCTGTGGCTCAAGTGGTAGAGCGCTAGCCTTGAGTTGAAGAGCTGATGGACAGTTCCTAGCCCCAGAGTTCAGGCCCCGTGACCTACCAAAAAAAAAAAAGATTCTGGAGTTGAAGTCAAGTCAAAAAAAAAAAAGGCAAATTTTTGTCAAAATGGAGCCACTGTATGGCCTTTATTGTTGATTATGAAGAATAATCTGTAAAGCCTAGCAGTAGCTAGGAATAAGGCTGTTATTTACAGGTACCAACTTTTATTTCTGCACAGTGTGTGAGACCAGGACTATACAGATGCAAACGGGATTGTGCTGGGACAAATCAGGAGCTGAGGTCACTTGCCCTGAGTTATGAATGACTGGGAAACCCAGAGTAATGAAAGTGCAGTGTGTGAGCACTTTGCTCTGGAGCACTGCTATTTGTGGGCGAATTAGGGAGTGGATGATCTTTTTGGGAAGCCAAATCTGTGATGGGCCTGGGATGGGTCCTTTCTTTCCTCTATCTGCTGTTGTCCTGGAGACAAGCATCCTTAGCAACTGCTGTCTGTGTCTTTATACTCATCTGGCATTTTGCTGGCCAAATTCAAGAGTGCAATAGCAAGGGAAGGTCAGAGCATGCATTGTAATTTACCCAGGGCTTCCTTGGACACTTGCCTTTCTGACCGATACAGATGTGTGTCTTACAGATGTTTCTCCCCTCCCGACTCTCTTGCAGCTTTCCAGTACCCACAGCTCAACTTGTCTCAGTTATTGAAGTCTTCTTGGGTCAGAACAGGTATGTTTAACTTCGGTAATATTTTGGGAACTGTAAGAGTAAGAAGTCTGTGCAGGCATATTGAGGACACACCCTTCCTGTTTTCTAAATTCAGGGCAAAATGTACTTTAAATCTTGGCAAAGAATGAATGAGAAAGAGATTCAAATTGGGCTGTGGGAATGCATCCCACTGAGTTATGGCACCAAAAAAAAAAAAAAAAAAAAGATTGACCTTCTTTAGAATTCTTCCTTCATGTCTAGGACATGATCTAATGAATCAGCTGTCTCCTGGCCCAGCACTGGGCATGGATAACATTTTCCTTGAATGTTATTTGTTTGGTTTTATAAAGACAAGTAAGGTAGCGTGGGGGCCTGGGTCACACACATGGAGCAAGAACTGGTGCGGGAGCGTGGGGGTGGGTTCTCCTACTCCAGCAGTATAGAAGGAAGGAAAGGCCGGGAACAGAGAGGGCAGTTACAGTATATAGTAAGGTAACAAAGAGTTTAGTTAACAGAGGGAAGAGTGGAGGCCATTCAGAAGAATGAGTGGTCCTGGGCTGTAGCTCCTACCCCTTCTTTTTTCTCCTCCCTTATTGGTGTGTTTGAAGCAGGCAAAGCCCTCTCTTGGGCGGTGTCCGCAGGATACTGAGCTTGACCTTCTCCCTTTTCCTCCTCCCTTTAAGCAATTGTGGTTGACTTGTCTAAAACAGGAAAGATCCTCCCTTGGGCAGTAAGCTGCAGGATGGTGGGCTGGCGTGGCTAGCAGAGGCTTTTTTTTTTTAGCCCTCTGAGAATGTTGCAAAATAAACAGGCTTTTTTGTTTTGGTGCCATTACTGGTGGTTGAACTCAGGGCCTTGCATTCTCGCTTGGCTTTTTCCACTCATAGGGGTGCTCTGCCACTTGAGCCATGCCTCCAGTTCCCTTTTGCTGGTTAATTGGAGATAAAGTCTCAAGGCCTTTTTTTTTTTTTTTGGCCAGGCTGACTTGGAACTGTGATCCCCAGTTCTCATACTCCTGAGTAGCTAGGATTACAGGCATGAGCCACAGATGCCTGATTAAAAATGGCTTTCTAACCTGATCCAAATATCCCCCTCCTCCCAACTACACCTTGCTCAGCCACCGCTCACCAGAAAAGAGCTACAGTCACCATTTCTGGGCTTCTCAGGCCCTGGAGGTTCTTCACTGCGTTCATCTCTTCTCTTGGGGCCGCAGGTTCTAGCCTTCAAGGTGATTAAGTGACTTGGCCAAGGTTGCAAGGATTGAAACCAGTTCTGGACCCAGCAGATAAACTGATTGTCTGTCTAGATAATCTTGTTCAATGCAGATAAGAGAAGACAGGCAGATTCTCTTTCTTCCAGTTAATGGGTGAATCCAATTCTTAAGACCAAAGAGGAACTCCTGCTATTTTCAGAAGTTTTGAGATAAGCGCAGGTAGATCACGTGTTTGATGTTCTGTGGGCATCCTTCATCTCATTCAGCTCATTCATGGCTGAGTTCCTGGGACTTTTGACCTGGGCTCCAGAGTGTCAATTCTCTAGCCCTTCCTTTCCCCAGCCAATTGTTTGGTCCACTTTTTTTTTTTTTTTGGGTCC